TTGGTGGGAAGGTAACAGCATTCCGTGGGAAAGGCTCATTTTCTGCTGAGATGTCTTGCTGTTTTTCCACAGCCATCATGGTCATCATTAGCAATGCACATGTGGCACTTGCGGCCTGTCTGTAGGTGCATCTCTGCTGCTATGGTGTTCAAACTTACTTTCTTCAGGGAGCCATTTCCATTGTTTCAGGGCCTGCCAAGGACCTCCCTGTGCGCCCCTAATGCAACCATGACAGGCTGCAGAGGATGGCAGACAGCCAGTGTGGCGGAGGGATTAGAGTATCAGAGTAAGATATGGGAGACACTGCTCCAAATCCCCCACCTGTGTCATGGAAGCTTGCTGGGTGACCTTGGATCAGTTACTCACTCTCAGCCTAGCCTACCTCACAGGTCCAGTGTGAAGATAAAATGGGGGGAGGAGGAGGAGATTGGATTGGATTTATACCCTGCCCTTCACTCGGAGTCTCAGAGTGGCTTACAAACACCTTTCCCTTCCTTTCCCCACAACAGACACCCGGTGAGGTCGGTGGGGCTGAGAGAGCTCTGACAGAAACTGCTCTTTTTCAAGGACAGCTCTGACAGAACAATGGCTTGCCCAAGGTCACCCAGCAGCTGCGAGTGGAGGAGTGGGGAATCAAACCCGGTTCTCCCAGATTGGAGTCCACACACTTAACCACTACACGAACTGGAGATGAGAATTACGTAAGCCACTTCAGGCTCCCAGGGGGGAAAGAGGCAGGGCATAAATTAAGTTATCACAGGTTCAATCCCTGGCATCTCCATGTAAAAAGGACCAGGCAGTCGGTGATGGGAAAGGCCTCTGCTTGAGACCCCTGGAGAGCCGCTGCCAGTCAGAGTAGACAATACTGAGCTTGATGCACTGAGGGTCTGATTCAGGATAAGGCAGCTTCATGTGTTCGCACCAGCCCAGCCATTACCCTGTTGGGAGAGAAGGAGAGCCGCTCCAGCCCTCACCATTTCCATCAACGAGCCCGGCCCTCAGCCTAACATCTGGCTCATTCCATCGAGCGACTCAGGACGACCACTGAGCTGGAACTGTCAGCTTGTAAACATCCTTAGGACGCCATCACGAGCAACGAACGGAACGATCACTAGCACCTTATGACTTTATGAGTTATATCTGTATTGTTTGGTTTTAAAATGATTTTATGTGGTTTTATTGGTATTTTGCACCAACGTTGTAAGCCGCCCTGAGCCCGCTCGCGGGGAGGGCGGGGTATACAATGAATTAATAAAATAATAATAAATAAGGCCTCCAACTGCTGGTCACCCATTCAGGCCTGTTGCTGCGGCTGCTTTAGCAAGACGAGCCCTGGGGTCTGCAGGAGGGAGACTCGCATTCAGAGCCACCTCTGCCCCAAGCCACAAAGCCCTCTGCGAGCAAATCACTCTCTCCACACCCGACCTAATTTCCCGGGTTTCCTGGAGGAGAACCCCCTCCCATGTGATTAGCAGCTTCGGAAGGGTTAACAAGACCAGCCAGTTGTCCTGCCGCCTAGAGGGCAGGCCAGTCAAGGCGGCTGTTGGTTACGTCCGGGAAATGCAACAAGCACACGCTTAGGACAGAAAAGAAACCCACAGTAGAGTGTATTATTCTGAGCAACAGGCGCTCTCGAAACCAAAAACATCACCCCTTCCACTCCCTTCTCCTGTGGCCGGCCAAGACCCCGCCCTCGCCTTCCAGAAGTAAGGAGGCTCACACCCAGAGACAAGTCACCGACTGCTGAGCTGTTATCATGAGGCTTCCCCTAACCAGCACCTGAGGACAAGGAAGCAAGGCAGATCGCAGCCGCCGGCCGCTGAATCAGCCCCTGCATTTACCGCAAAGTTTCCCTAAAGCCTCTCCACGTGCAAAAGGGAACAGTTATCTTGCTCTGACGCAACCAGCCACTAGGCTAGGAACGGGCGAGTCAGGACGGCCTCCGAGGAACCCCAGGTTTCCAGCAAAGAATTCTACACCACAAGAGCCTCCGGGTCAACATCTGAAACGGGTCCTTCCGATAGGGAGCCTAAGGAGAATACGTTAGGGAGCTGTCCTTATCTATTTCTTATTTGTTTTATTTCATTAGATTTATAGCCCGCCCTCCCCTGAAGAACAGGGCTCACGGCGGGTAGTGCCACATAAAACATTATACAATTAAAACATTATTAAATGTGCATATTATGAATACAATAATTATCATAAAAACACATTCAACCATTACATTAAGAGATGGCATGAACCCCGGCGGGGAGGTACATATCTTAATATCTGTCTAGCCTGGAGAAAGGAGAGGGAAGCAGGAGGAAGGAGAGAGAGGAGAGACCAGTCAGAGACAGAGAGCTGTCAGGGACCTCAACCATAAGCCTGGCGGAACAAGGCAGATCCAGGCAGTCAGCCGTGTTGGTCTGAAGCAGTAGAACAAATTCAGAGTCCCGTGGCACCTTTAAGACCAAGAAAGGTTTATTCAAGGTATGGGCTTCCGTGTGCACGAAAAAGCGCGCGCGCACACGAAAGCTCATACCTCGAATAAACCTGGCGGAACAACTCTGTTTACTGTCCCATTTGCTCATCTTCCTATGACCTCCCATCGAAAGGACAGATTTCAGTTCCGACCCAAGAAATTAGGACAATTTTTGAGATTCTGCAAGAATTACTCCCACTGTCTTCTGAAAGTGGCCAGAAAGCTGCAACCTCCCGACATTAAGCCAGCAATTAAAAAGATGAGTTTAAAAGTCCCTCATTAAAACATTCAGTTCAGCATTAAGGCCTCAGTCTCAAAATCAGCGCTACTGTGAGAAAGGCCGGCATCATGGCCCTGCCAGTGTTAACAACAAGACTAAGAATTACAGCAAGGATAACAGAACACTCATTGCATGCACACGAAAGTGTCTATCCAGAATAAAAATTTGTTAGTCTTAAAGATGCCACCAGACTCAAACTTTGTTCTGTTGCTTCAAACTAGGCTTGCCAAACCGCGGCGGGGGATCCATGCGTCGTCGCAGAATCGCTGCCGCGGGGGGACAGTAACCCACGCTGCACCGGCATCGCCAGGATGTGACGCTACGCGATGCGTAGCGTCACATCCTGGCGACGACAGTGCAGCGCGGATTGCTGTCCCCCTGCGGCAGCGATTCTGCGACAACGCATGGATCCCCTGCCGCGGTTTGGCAAGCCTACTTCAAACCAACACGGCGACCCCACCTGAATCTATCAGCAAGGATAATAGTGAGATAATCCTACTGAACTCAGCTGCTTGTGCTCCTCATACAGGATGTGAAAGGACTTCCACAGCAACAGGGCTAAGCTCTGCTATTCCTTCTTTGGAGAAGCAAATGTTGCCTGGTGGGATCAAATCAAGGATTTCTCTGGTCTAGCACTCTGCCTTCCTACAAAACCAAGAAGCCCATACGCAGGGCCAGAGGGGAACAGCTCTCTTCTGCTATAAAAAGAGCCAGAGTCCAGTAGCATCTTAAAGACTTAACAAAATTTGTGACACAGTATAATCTTTTGTGAGTCACTGCTCACTTCTCCAGGTACGGTGACTCACAAAAGCGTCACCCCCGCCACAAATTTTGTTAGTCTTTAAGGTGCTGCTGGACTCTGGCTCTTTTCTGCTGCTACAGACAGACGAACACGGCTACCCATCTCTACTGCTATTGAGTACTCCAGTATCTGCTACTCCAGAATACACATTTCCCCCAAACATGGAGACTGCATACAGCTTCCCCTCGGCTGCTATGTCCCCCAGCGTCAGCATACTGCCACTGAGCATGCAGGCTCTGCCCATGAAAACATGAAGCTGCCTTATATTGTAGACCTTTGGTCCACCAAGGTCAGCTCTCCGGGGGTCTCCAGCAGCGGTCCATCACATCAGCTACTACCTGACTCATTTGATGGAAATTTAAGATCTCCCTGTGCAAAGCAGATGCTCTACCAGACTCATGGCCTCCTGTGCTATATGCACCTCGGGATCGGTTGCTTCAAAGATGCGTTGCCCCGTATGGAGACTCCATGTCGCTCTACTGTGTGCTTCCCCGGTACACATTATTTCAGAAAAATGGCAGCTGTTAGTATTCCAGAAAACTACCGAAAAACCCTCCCACCAAGTCCCCCCTTCCTGTGACTGCCAGCGTCTGTCCCTTCACAGGTCCACTGCCCCTAGACACAGACGCTCCCCACACCTCTCCCCCTTGCCTTCACAACATGCTCAGCATCAGTCACTCCAGAGGTCCACTGCCCCTGAGCGTGGGGGGGGGGCGCCATGCAGCTTGCTCCCCCAACCCAGCCTCCACTTCAGCTCTCTCCACACCCTCATTTATGAACCCCCCCTACACACACACACTCAGCATTTCAGAAAAGTACTGGAATGCCCTCCCCCAAGTCCCCCAACCTCCCTTTCCTCTGTGGCTGCCAGCACATAAAAACATAACTAGTCCAACACTCTGTCACACAGTGGCCAAAAATACCAGGTGCCATCAGGAGGTCCAGCAGTGGGGCCAGGACACTAGAATCCCTCCCACAATATTGCCCCCCCCCAAAGCACCAAGAATACAGAGCATCCCTTGCCCCAGACTGAGAGTTCCTATCTGAACCTTGTGGCTAATAGCCACTGATGGACCTCTGCTCCATATGCTTATCCAGTTCCCTCTTGAAGCCATCCGTGCTTGTAGCCGCCGCCACCTCCTGTGGCAGTGAATTCCATGTGTTGATCGCTCTTTGGGTGAAGAAGGACTTCCTTTTATGTGTTCTAACCCGACCTTCACAGGTCCACTGCCCCTAAGCATGGAGGCTCCACACAGTCCCCCCCCCCCGCCTTCGCCACATGCTCAGCATCAGTTACCCCAGAGGTAGGTGAAACAAGGGGGACCAGTTGATGGCTTTCTTCCTCCCTCCTCTCTCCCTGCCCCCCCCCCGGCCCGGGGTCCCTCCCTTTGTTGCCCCCCCAGGAGCCCCTCCCCTCCTCGAGAAGGAGGGCGGCGGGTGGGCGGGGCTTCTACCTGCGCGTCCCCGCGTCCTCGTCCTCGTCGCCGAACATCCCCGGCGCCTCAGGGTGCGGGACGGAGGCCGCCGCGGGAGCCATGATCACGTCGCAGTCGCCGCCCGCCGCCGCCATCTTGCTTCCTCCCTGCCGCAACCAACGGCCGCCGAGCCGGGAAGAGCGAGCGAGAGCGAGAGACACAGAGGAGGGAAGAGAGAGAGACGGGGGCCGGAAGTCCTCGCGGGCGCTTCCGGAGGCAGCGGAGAGGGGAGAGGCAGAAGGGCCACTTCCGGCTCGGAGGAGTCAAAGAGAGGGGGAGAGGCCGGGTCCGCCAAGAGGAGGCCCTTCAGGCTGCGTTGCCAACCTCCAGGGGGGTGAAAATCAAAAGAGGGAAAACGCTGCAATCAGACGCCGTTTAGTAAATTTTCCATTTAATGGCAATAATATATTTTATAGTTGTTGTTGTTGTTTTTTTTAAATAAAGTTTTAAAGAATACACAAAGATTTGGGGGGGGGAAGGGGCAGGAGCAAAAATAATAAGGCTTCTGCATATAACTCTGCTTATTAGTTCATATTATACAGAGATAGATTGTGAGGTTCTAAAAGTTCACGAAAGCTTCTTGACGTTATAATATTAAGGAGTTCGTTTCTTTGTATTTCTCTCTTATCCAGTTAACCCTTTTGTTCTCCCAAACTTCCAAATTTAAATGGTCGGAATTACCTGCTTGTAACCAATGCTCCCTCTAAGCTGTGGAGTCTTGTGAGCAAAAGTCTTGCTTTGTGACCTACTGGCACAAAAGTTGTGAGCGAGCGATTTGGCTGCTGCACAGATTAGTTTGCTCAGGAGCCATCCTTCCTGAGCTAAGACAAAAATGTGTGAGCCGGAGGGTAAAAAACTGTGAGCTAGCTCACACTAACTCAGCTTAGAGGGAATTGCCCATGCTTTTCATTTTAGTCTTCAGGATTTTGTTTGTATTGCTGTTAATGTCTGTTTACCTCCTGTGCCCGATAAACCGTCCTTATATTCTCTTTGGGACCGTTTGGCTTCATATCTTGAACAATTAGAACATTGTTTTCCTATGGTAGACATTATCCATGTACTTAAAAAAATTTTTTTTTAATGTGCTTTTATTTTTCACATGCCAATAAAGGTTATCTATCTATCTAATCATTTCATACTATAGAGATAGATTGTGAGGTTCTAAAAGTTCATAAAAGCTTCTTGGTGTTATAATATTAAGGAGTTCATTTATCTGTATTTCTCTCTCATCCAATTATAAAACGGAGTCCATAGGCCAACAAAATCTTCATCCATTTCACCCTTTTTAACATCGAGGTCAATTTGTCCACTTCCGCACTTTTCATAATCTTCACTATTAGGTCATGTTCAGAAGGTATTGATGGAAGTTTCCAGTAGGATGCAAATAAAATTCTAGCTGCAGTTGCTACATGAATTATAAAATATCTGTTTTTTATATTTTACAGTATTTTGACACAGATAGGTTTATGATGTGTACAATAAAGTAATACTGAGTGAAACAAAGCACAAAGTGGATCCAAAAGCACAAGGACATAAGCAAAACTCAACAACTGGTATAATTGCTCTTATTCATGGAAGAATCATCAACATGGGTCATCAACCAACATAAGTCATCGAATCAACATGATTCGTCACAAGGGGATCCTGGGTATAAATTCACTCGTTTCGATAAACTTTTTCAATGAGACAAACCGTTATTTTACAATAATGTTAAGGTATTCTCTAAGTTGTATAATATATCATCGAAAGTGACATTCAGTCTCCTGAACGGCTATATTGTAGAATTTCTATATGGGCACCATCAACACTTCAATAAAGGATTCAATCAGAACTTTCTGCCAACAGTGCAACCTCCAGGTGGTGGCTGGAGCTCTCCTGGGATCACAACTGATCTCCAGGCGACAGCTCAGCTGGAGAAACTGACCATTTTGGAAGGTGGACTCTCTGGCATTACGCCCCACTGAAGTCCCGCCCCAAACCCCGCCCTCCTCAGGCTCCACCCCCAGAATCTCCAGGCATTTCCCAGCCTGGAGCTGGCAACCGTCCGTAACCCTAGACTAACAGGGCTACAGTATTGCAGACTTTACGCAGGCCTGACGCTTAGGAACATGAGCAGTAACAAAAAAGCAAAAAGGTAGCTTGTGGCACCATAAGGAACAGCAGGGTGCAATCCTAAAAAAACACCTTCCCTCTGGCATTAAGCCCCAGTTAATACAATTCGACTTACTTCTGAATAGATCTGCCTAGAATAGTTCCCTTTTTGATGACTGGACTGTTGCCATCGTTCAAGTACTCCCCTACACACAAGTGGTTTCGTTTAAATATTTTTAAAGGCACTAAAACACCAATATACCTTAAGCAGGTTCTCCAAATTCCCAGCTTTATTATTTTTTTTAAAGTCTCTAACCCCCTCCATTGCAGAGATATAAGAAAAAAGGGGTATCTCTGTGAAAGGACGGGGCAGAGACTTTGTAAATAAAAGCTGGGGATTCAGAGAACCTGCTTAACCTACCAGAATAATGGTACCCTGATATAAGCACGTTATAAGCACGGTGGCTCGGTGGTTAAGATGCTGAACTGCAGGCCGGAAGGTCAGTAGTTCAGCAGTTCGAGACCCAAGTGCCGCATGACGGCGTGAGCTCCCATCTCTGGCCTCAGCTCCTGCCAACCTAGCAGTTCGAAAGCAAAAAACTGCAAGTAGATAAATAGGTACTGCTGCAGTGGAAAGGGAACAGCATTCCGTGCGCCTCGGCGTCTAGTCATGCCGGCCATATGACCACGGAAACGTCTTCGGACAGCGCTGGCTCTTCGTCTTGGAAACAGAGATGAGCACCACCCCCTAGAGTTGGATTTGACTAGCTCTCGAGCAAAGGAAACCTTTACCTTTTACCTTAAAAACTTAAAAGGCAGTGTGGCTTGACAGCACCCTCAATGACACTGATGGCAACATCGCCCTCCCTTGAAAACCCTGATTATTGAAGGCACATGTGGAAGAAAATAAACTGACTCCACAACTGTGAAAATGCACAGGGAGGTCAGCTGTGCAAAAGAACCATGTCCAAGCCAATTCCAGTGCTTGTGGATTGGCTGCCAAGAGAATTGGGATCGTTATGTCTCCCATTTTGTAATCTGGAATTAATTAAATCAAGAATCAAGGGGAAAAAATTAAATCAAGAACTTCCCTTCCCGTTGCCCTTCTCTGGTGCTGTTTAGTCAGTTCCATAGTTTTTTTCCTGATAAGTTGCCCACCTGTCTCCTCTGTCATAATATTTCGTTTCTGGAAAAGAACCCATTTTATGCTATGGGCCAAACAAAGGTATGGGTGGCCTGAGTGTAGAGCCAGTCATTAGAGTCTGCTCCTGGGTACCAGTGGAACTGCAACAGACTCCCCACTCCTCCTCCAGAGTGTTGGAGGAGGTCTGCTGAATGTAAGGTTGCCAGGTCTTACCTCGCTGTCAGTGTGTGTGTGTGTGTGGGGGGGATCTTCACTCCTTTCCAGGAGCTTTTGCTGCGCACATGAAGCGTGCACGGTGTGATGACATCACCCGGAAGTGACATCATCACACCGACGACGTCACACGGCGACACTCTAGGTTTTGGGCAAAACTTTATGGTTTTGAGCCCAAATTTACCATAGAATTTTGCCCCAAACCTACCGTGTCACTGCACAACATCAGCAATGTGATGACATCATGTCCGGGAGATGTCATCATGCCATGTTTGGGGGCATTTGCGGGCAGGGGAAAACCCCACCCAGGTCAGGAGGCTGACTGAACATTTGGTTGCTGTTGCTATATTAATTAGGATACGGAATGTGTTTGTTTTGATTTAGTACTGCTAGTATTTGCTAAGGGTTATCCCCCCACCCCCGCTATTGTACCAACTATTAATTCATTTATTTAACTTGTATTACACTCTCCCCCACGATTGTGGGGTTCAGAGCAGGTCACAGCATGTAATAAACAAAATTATAATATAATTAAAACATACCATTTTAAAACAATTCCAAGCATTTACAGTTCATCAAATGGCACATAATAACACTAAGTCACTGTCCCGGGGGAAGAAAATGGGGAGGAAGAGGCAGGAGACTCGGTGTATGCGGGAATTGTCCTGAGCTCACCCCTGTGCTTGGCGGTACATTTCCATTTTACGGGGCCTGCAGCACTGTACCGGTCCCGAAGGGCCCTGATCTCACACGGAGGTGCATTCCACCAAGCTGCAGTCGCAGCCAAAAATTCCTGGCTCCCAGAATTGTCAGTGTGTTGTTGTTCAAAGAGTGTCATAAATAAACTACCTGCATAAACTCTGTAGTCCTTTAAATCAGGTCTCTGTCATCCTTTTCCTACTGGTACTCGCAGACACCTCGATAGGTAACAGATCCCAGTTTTCTTCCCCCGTGGTTCATTTTATATCCAGCAGTGGCTAACCGGATGCGGCCACGAAGGTTCCAACCCGGGCACAAAGGCCACGCTCCGCTCTGTTGCCCTCGCTATCCGCTATGCAAAGGTAAACAGCCTTTGAACAAGGGAGTTTCTTTTTCTCCACCGTAGCCTTTCGTAAGCCTAACCCTCCTGGGACTTGTCTAATCCTTTAAAAAAGCCATCTTGAGTAGCCCCATGGGCTGGAAGAAATGTGGCAACAAAGGAAATGTATTTGCACTGCTGGCTATATTGTCCCACAGTTACCCCTTCTTGGGAATCCGTGGCAAAACAAATCAAATCCGTCACTAGTATAGACCTCCGTATCACACCAGAACACCTCTTATCGAATGGCCTCCAGGGATGGCTCCTGTTCTAACACGGGAAGAGTATCTTTGTTGCTCCATGCGGCTGGAAGCACCATTGCTATAAACTGGAAATCAACACGGTCACTGGCCCTCTCATAATGGCGTCCAAAGATATGGAGCTTATATATTATACTTCACAGGCAATCCGGCGTACTTTAATAAACCTTTTTCACACTCTACCTTCTCCTCTGTCTGGCTACCTATCCTAGAGTATTTGTCCTCCCAACAAGAAATCCCTGAAGTTATAGATGATTTGGGTTTATGGTAAAACTTATGCTTGTAGTATTGAGTTGTGTGTTTTCTTATTCTTGGATGGTTGTGCTCATTCATATACACTGAGTCTATTGTATTGTATCAACTTAAGCCTCAGTTATGATTTGTGATTTATATGGTTGTGGTATATATTACTGTAGTATATTGGTAACAATGTTAAAATTCAACAAAATATTAATTAGAAAAATAAGATCATCAAATCACCAAAACTAGGGTTGCCAACATTGGGGAGGTGGGTGCTGAAGTTCTTCTGGACACAGGAGCATGTCCAGCCAGTGCAAGGGATGCTCTATATTCTTGGTGCTTGGGGGGTGGGGGCAACAGTGGGAGGGCTTCTAATGTCCTGGCCCCACTGCTGGACCTCCTGATGGCACCTGGTATTTTTGGCCACTGTGTGACAGAGTGTTGGACTAGATGGGCCATTGACCTGATCCAACATTGGCTTCTCTTATGTTCTTGAGTTCTAGAAGTTAGCTACTGTGTTGTGTGTCTTCTTATTCTTGGATGGCTGTGCTCATTCCTATACACTGAATATATTCTCTTGTACCAATTTAAGCCTCAGTTATGATTTGTGATTTATATGACTGTGATAAGTATCATTGTAATATATTGGTAACAATGAATGTTAATGTAGAAAAAGAGCTGCCGGAGCTCATTAGCATAACTCATTAGCATAACTTATTTGCATATGCCACGCCCCCTGACATCACCGGAAGTGACAGAAGGCCACACCCCCTGACATCACCGGAAGTGTGTCAGAAGGCCCGGCTACTTACCCTCCTGCTTCATCCTCATTCCCAAACGGAATGAGGATCGAAGCAGAGGGCGGGGTAAAGAAGGGGCGGGGCTTCACCACGTGACCGCCCCACCCCCTAGAGGTTCTCTTCCGGAGCTCCATACCTGAGAGCTCCCCCCCGACTAGAGCCCTGAAGATAAATGAAATGAAGGGATCACTGCAAAAGCATCTTTATATGTTTGTGCATACCAACAGTATTACAGGGATCAGATGTGGAAGAAAAATCATACAGTCAAAATGGAACTCAGAGTGGCTTACAAACTCCTTTCCCTTCCCCTCCCCACAACAGACACCCTGTGAGGTCGGTGGGGCTGAGAGAGCTCGGACAGTAACTGCTCCTTTTTCAAGAACAGCTCTTATCAGAACTGTGGCTTGCCCAAGGTCATCCAGCCAGGTGCAAGCGGAGGCGTGGGGAATCAAACCCGGTTCTCTCACATTAGAGTCTGCGCACTGAACCACTACACCAAAGTGGCCATTGCCGCATCTTGTGGAGGCAGACGCCTTAAAACTATTTATACTATTACTTCCACCTTTCACCTCGAACAGCATGCTTCATCGAATGCACTGGTGTGGCGTATGTGCTCTCCCCCCCCCCTCGCTGTCAAGTGTTCTGTCTACGGTACCGGTTTGGTGTCGTGGTTAAGTGCGCGGACTCTAATCTGGGAAAACTGGGTTTGATTCCCCGCTTCTCCACTTCCAGCTGCTGGATGACCTTGGGCAAGCCACAGTTCTGCCAGAGCTGTCTCAGGAGCAGTGTCCTCGAAGGAGCTCTCTCAGCCCCGCCTACCTCCCAGGGTGTCTGTGGTGGGGAGGGGAAGGGAAAGGAGTTTGTAAGCCGCTCTGAGACTCCGAGTGAAGGGCGGGGTATAAATCCAACCTCCTCTTCTCTCTAGGAAATTCCTTGGCAGGAGGAGAGCCTCCGAGCACCACTGCAGAAGAAACCCTAGATGGTGCTGTGGGCTGCGTCTTCCTGGTCCCAGCCCTCCTCCCGGCCCTGTTGTCGACTGACTCTCAGTTCCTTTCCCGGTCGAAGCGGAACAGTTCCTCGAGGCGGGTGGGCAGCGAAGAAACAAGGGGGGACGCTCGTCTGGGGCAGGTGAGTTCAAGCCTTTTTTTTAATGCAGACGTGCAGGGATGATCCTGGGCTCAGCTTTACCTACCCAGGTTCGGGACAGCTGGAAGGCTCGAGTGGATTTGCATGATCGCATCCTAGAGTCATAGAACCAGCAGAGCTGGAAGGGGCCAGACCGGCCATCTAGCCCAAGCCCTGCTCAATGCAGGATCAGCCCAGAGCATTCCTGACAAACGTCTGTCCAGCCGCTGCTTCAAGACTGCCAGGGTGGGCGCTCACCACGTCCCGAGGCAGCCCATCCCACTGTTGCACAAGGGAAAAAAAATCCTAATATCCAGCCGGTATCTTTCCACCTGTAATTTAAACCCATTATCGTGAGTCACACCAGGGGGCTGTGCCGCTTAGCATAAATCCAGCAGGGAACGGCAGCCGATCCTGAATCTGAATGAAAGACACACACTTGTATTGTTTCAGGAGGGGATGTACTAAAAGGAAGGACAGGATTGCCCATTGGAAACAATGGGAGACGCTGGAAGACCCATTGGAAATAATGGGAGCCTGGAATGCCAATTGACTTGCATGGGCTCCATTGGAAAACATTAGAGTACAAGTAGAGTTGCAATAAAAATGCGGAATGGATTTCCATTAGGGTCTCTGGGCCCAAATACACTACTCTGGGGATGGAAGGAGAGGCCACAGAGTGGAATGACAGCCCCAGGGTGTGCCAGGAGTGCTCTGGGACAGGGATGAGAGGCCACGGAGTGGAATGAACGCCCCAGGGTGGAGCAGGAGTGTCCAGGAACTGGAATGACAGGGCCACGGATTGGAATGACAGCCCTAGGGTGTGCCAGGAGTGCTCAGGAGCTGGGATGACTGGGCCACGGAGTGGAATGACAGCCCTAGGGTGTGCCAGAAGTGTTCAGCAGCTGGAATGACAGGGCCACGGATTGGAATGACAGCCCTAGGGTGTGCAAGGAGCTGGAATGACAGGTCCAATAGTGGAATGACAGCCCTAGGGTGTGCCAGGAGAGTTCAGGAGGTGGAATGAGAGGGCCACGGATTGGAATGACAGCCCTAGGGTGTGCCAGGAGAGTTCAGGAGGTGGAATGAGAGGGCCACGGATTGGAATGACAGCCCTAGGGTGTGCCAGGAGAGTTCAGGAAGTGGAATAACAGGGCCACGGATTGGAATGACAGCCCTAGGGTGTGCCAGGAGTGTTCAGGAGCTGGAATGACAGGGCCAACAGTGGAATGACAGCCCTAGGGTGTGCCAGGAGTGTTCAGGAGCTGGAATTACAGGGCCACGGATTGGA